TATGTAGGAGAGAGAGCATTTATAGGTCGATTCTGCTAGTGGTAGAGATATGTTAACAGAGAACAGAACAGGAGTGAGTAAAGCAAACACAATTATAGCAAGTTGGCTACAAATCACTACAATATATCAAAGACTACTTCAGATATATATATATAACATAAAACAGAAAAGTTGCAAAAGAAGGATTTACTTGGTTGATATTTGCTCAAGCAAGATAATAAAGGGGAGACCAAAACAAGGTCACGAGCAGCAACGATCAACCACATTCACAAATCACATGGGAAGTCAAGGAGCAATCGTAGTATCTTGGATGATTAATTTCATGCAAAATCCGCTCCATATTGGTCCATGAGTTTGAATGCTTGAGGTATTTGGCTACCAATAAAAGCCTAAAATATAATTGAAAAAAGAGAGGAAAATTAGAAGCAAATTAACAATTGTGACATTAATTACCATTTTCAATCTAAAGTCAATACCCTGAAATACTGGCAAATGTTTTTTAATTTTTAACCAGGAAACAAGGCCAAATAGAAATAGAATAGAAACCAAAGTTAAAAGAATGCTCCTAAGAAGAAACATAGATGATGGAACAAACCTGAACATCTTCAATCAGTCCTCAATGTCATCAGTGTAGATACTAAACCCATCACTAGAGAAACTCAACCGATTGACATCGTTATGTTGAACAATTGAGGTCGAAGCAGACTCTTCTTCTCCGTCGCCGAAACAAAAATTGAACTGAAGGTCATGTTGTGCGACGACATTTTTGTTTGTAGCGAAACCCTACAAATGGTCTAACAAGTCCGACTCTGTTAGGATCCTGATTGAGTCCTACATTGCTAAAGTATGGGCTTAGCATGTGAGTTTATAACCACTTGGGCACCCTCTCCCTACAAGCTAGCTTGTGGAGATGAGTTCTACCTAAGGGTTATAACAATTGGTATCAGAGCATGCCTCTCCTCAGGCCCACGTTGCTGAAGGGGCAACCTGGAAAGGCCAGAGTGGGCCATCTAGAGTGGGCCGCCGTGGATGTCGGTATCGGAAGCGTGGTAGTATGTTAGGATCCTGATTGAATCCCACATTGCTAAAGTATGGGCTAGCTTTTGGGGATGAGTTCTACCCAAGGGTTATAACAATCTCCCCAAACGTGTATGAAATATAACGTCTTCCTTGAACTCTTTAACAGAAAAGGACAGAGAGTATGTGTTGAACCTTACAATAATCCGAGCCTCCATTTGGTTGCATACTAGGGTTGGCATGTCATAGTTTGCAATGCTCCTCTTTCCATCTGTATCATCCTTAGTTCATGCAACTCTGTCAAAACAAGTTGCTTGAGCTTCCGAAAACTGCCCTCCTCAAAATGAAGTTGCTCACCATCGCATGCTCGATGAAGCAAAAGATATGCTAAGTTGGGCAAGCGCATGAGGGCTTTCTAAGGTGTCAACCACTAATCTTGAGAAACTTAAACCCAATATGTTTAGATTTTGAAGCGGCAAAATCCAATCTGGCAACTTCTCTAGACGACCCTTAAAGATGAGGCGTCCTATAAAAGGCGGTGGCGCTGAAATGGATTCCAAATCGAAAAGTTTGAAGATTATTGGATGAGTATAAACTAGGGATTCTAGGTGATTCATCTTCTCAATCGTGAAGAGAGTGGTCGCCATGCCTGCATCCGATTTTGAAACGCTCGAACATCTTAACTGTCTCAACTTCTTCGACTCTTTTGTGCTTCCACAGTCATTAGCGTTTGCAAGTTCTCCAAAGAACAAATCCCTTCCTTGATCCTTGCTCCACTAATGGAACATGAGGGAACATTGCCATTATGAGAGCTGGCCAAAAGGTGTCTCAGTTTCCGGAGCTTCTGGATTTCGATTGGTAGCACATTAATCAGTGTATTTCTAACATCTAAGCTTTGTAGATTGAGTAGTAGACCCAGAGACTTTGGAAGCTTCTTCAATTTTGTATTCCTCAAATTCAAGCACTTCAAGAAGAATAAGTTTCCCACTTCCATTGGGAGATCATCTAGTGGAGTATTTTCGAAATCCAACAACTCTAGAAGCTTGAATCTTTCGAACAAACTAACCTCCAAACATCTTGTCATTATTGTTCCCTGGAAATCAAAAAGAAAAATAGAACGGACCCTGGACTGGTCGACAGTGATTTCCAAAGTATTTATTGCTCCACCGTGGAGTGACAGCCGACGACTTTCGGGATCTACTAATGATGAAGAGTCTTTATCCTCAAAAATCTGGCAGATCTCAAATTGTTTGGCCTTTGATACAAGAACTTCATGCATGACACCATGGACTCTACACATTCTTTCAGCGCCATCATACTTTATATGTGAGACTTGGACCGAGTTTCTATTTACGAGCTCATTCAAGTCAAGTACATTTCTGCAACTTGTTCCAACGCCTTGCCAATCTCTCCTTTAACAAAACCCTCGGCAATGCACATCTCGAATAATCTTTGATCAGGAATAAGAAAGTCCTCGGGAAAGATACCAAAGTATAAGAAACAGAGTCGAATATGGGAATGCAGATCGTCAAAACTCTGCGGGAAAAATTGTTGACACTATTGAATTAAGTCGGGGGTTCTCTCTAAAACCTTCATTCAAATGGTTTAGCAGCATTTCCCATTCAGCCACGACGTTCATTTTGGTGGACAGAAGAAAATCAGCAATGGCCTTAACTACAAGGGGCAAGCCATGGCATCTTCTAACAATTTCAAGCGACAACTCCAATAACTCAAATACGAAAGGCTGTTTACAAAATAACTCCCAAGCCATTTCTTTGGAAAGAGGTTGTAGACACTTCAAAAATATCACAAGAAGCAGCAGTCGCATTGTTACGTGTTGTGATGATTATCCTACTACCATTATTACAATCTAAAAAAAAAAAAACGTGATTCATAACTTCTCAAAAATCTAGTCGCCAGACATCATAGAAAACAATCAGATACCTCTTTGGGGACAAAAGTTGCTTCAAGCGACTAATTAGCTCTTGCTCTTGCATCGTGTCCATTTCCTCCTCACTCGAGTCTCCATCTTCGCAGATCATCTTTGTTAAACGCCTGAAAAGATTCTCGAAGCTGCATGATTGTGACACATTGATCCAAGCACGAAGATCAAAGTGTCGTCGAACCTCTTCACTTTGGTAGACAGTACTAGCAAGAGAGGTCTTACCAACTCCACCTACACCAACCAATGAAATCGCCAAGCGCGTGGATGTTTCTCCAACCAGCATGCTCACAAGTTCTTCTTTTTGAGCCTTAACGCCCACAAGTTCACCTTCTTCAATGATGCGGGATGACTTAATCTCCGAGAATCTGATCTTCTTCACTGGAACTGTACGAGTTCTCTTCGGAACTAAGATTGGATCTCCTTCTCCAAAATCCTTTCGGCAATGAAAATAAATCTTTCTCTAAACCCCATTTTTTCAACTTTCGTATACCTTTTAAAATCCGTTTAATCTCATTTGCCACATCTTCTGGTTTCAACCTTTTATTCGGGTAGTCACCTTTTTGGAGGACCATATAACTAAATCTGGACGCTCTGCAGCCTGAAGAAGGTACATGTCCAAGACGTACCCTGCACGTTGCGCCGCCTTTGCTGCATCCGTCAACCATTCTTCCGCGATCCAATTCTGTGCGTCTTTGTTCATGACCAATTCCTGAAGACTCTCCAGCTTGAGTTTCAGACTAATCATGTCTCCATTGGCTTTTTCTAGCAAGCTAAGTGCCTTGTCAATGACATAAATCGCTATACTCGCAGCTTCCATTGCTCTAATGATTTAGATGCTCTTTGCGTATTGTTTCTTACGGTTGACTCTAACTTATTTTATTTGCAAGGACGATAAATATCAGCGTCAAAAGGATTTACCAAGGTTTTGGGCTTATTGATTATCGATGAAAAACGTTAAACATTTATTTGGAAGTTGATGTTGGTAAAAACTGAAAAGTAGAAGTCAATATGAAATTCAACTCATTCTTAATTGTTGGTTGGGTCCCTTCCTACGTGGAGGTGGTGAGACCCACCACTTTTTTTAAAAAATTTAAAATAAAATAAAAAAAGAAGAAGAAGGAGAGGAGTGTGGGGGTAGTGTGTGAGTGACGCCCAAAAAAGTGAGAAAAAGAAAAAGAGCAGAGAGGGAAAGAGAAATGTAAAGTGAGGGTGAGCATTTATTAAAAGAGATAAATTCTCATAGTATTTTAGGGCCGTTTGGTATGCAATAAACCTGAGGGTGGCATGTTTGGTACGATAATTAAAATTTTTGAATTTTAGGGAAAGTTAATCCCAAGGATTATAACATAGTCATCTATTCTAACTTATTTTATTTGCAAGGACGATAAATATCAGCGTCAAAAGGATTTACCAAGGTTTTGGGCTTATTGATTATCGATGAAAAACGTTAAACATTTATTTGGAAGTTGATGTTGGTAAAAACTGAAAAGTAGAAGTCAATATGAAATTCAACTCATTCTTAATTGTTGGTTGGGTCCCTTCCTACGTGGAGGTGGTGAGACCCACCACTTTTTTTAAAAAATTTAAAATAAAATAAAAAAAGAAGAAGAAGGAGAGGAGTGTGGGGGTAGTGTGTGAGTGACGCCCAAAAAAGTGAGAAAAAGAAAAAGAGCAGAGAGGGAAAGAGAAATGTAAAGTGAGGGTGAGCATTTATTAAAAGAGATAAATTCTCATAGTATTTTAGGGCCGTTTGGTATGCAATAAACCTGAGGGTGGCATGTTTGGTACGATAATTAAAATTTTTGAATTTTAGGGAAAGTTAATCCCAAGGAATTCATGTTTCCTAGGAACCAACCTTCCCGGTAATACGAGTCCCACCAATTACGCCCCCTAGAGGTTGCCCTGAATGCTAATGTATGTCATGAGACTGATCTATGCAAAGATATGATACCATTCCTTCCTTTTTCTGATTATTGTTCTCTGTAAGAAGATAAAAGACTTTGCCCTCAAATATCAGATGTTCTAATTGTGACTGAGAAGCCTAGTTTAGGTTCATTAATCTAGTATATCACTTCCACTTTGGAGTCCACGGCAAAGAAAATGAAACACTAAACGCAAACAAGAAAAGTAAAGGACCATAATCAGTAAAATATATGTATTATTCGTATTGTAGAACGTTCAAATGCAACAACAACAACAACAAAGAACGTAAAGGGGTTTTCTTTTATACTTGGTCGCAACTCACAAGGTTAAGAACTTCAAAAACCATTCAAAAGCCATAAAAAATTTCCTCCAGTCCTCCATGTAAATACAAGGCCGTAATTCGTCCACAACAAAACCGCGGTTGAATCTCCATTTATCCCTGCCAATTACCAAATTCACATCATTTTATCCCTGCCAATTACCAAATTCAGATCATAATGCTAGCGTTTTTGCTTGGTTCGTACTTTAAATGTTGAGTAAAACGTCATTTTGGAAAGCAAAAGTGTACCAGTGAGGAGCAAACACAAGCGAAATCTAAGGCTTGCCATACTTCTTTCTCAGTCGTTCTCTTACGAAATCATTGCGAGCTTTGATTCGAGCTTGTTGAGGCGCAACATTGACATACGAGAAATGCAAGCCAAAAGCAAAGAGGGCGGCTCCAAAGAGGAAACATCCGATGGTCGTCGCAGCCTTCTTTGGAGTGGACGGAAAGCACATAGACATTTTCTTCTTCGTTCTACCTAATGAAGCCAAAAACAAATACTTGAAAAAGCAAATCCCATTTTTCACCATATAATTACAAACTCTAAAACTCATACAAACTCTAAAACATCATAGATCACTACATTCTCATTGGGAAAAACTTAAAGAAACTTAAGCAGTCATTACAATAGTGAAATGTTAACTCTTATTGACGCTTTAAGAGTAAAAATTTATCAAATCATTTAAGTAAGCCAATATTTGATCACTATATTCGGGGAAAAAAAAGCCATATGTAGTTAAGCACTATATTACAAAAAGGAAGAACAAGTCTTTCTCAGTGGCATTTTATCATACACTTAAGAAGCACTTCTGTAACCCAAAAAAATAATACATGCCCGCCAAAAGTTGTCATTCAATGGACTGGAAAACGACCATATTATCGATGAAATTTTAGAATCATACCTGAGAAAGCAACAATTTCGAAAAGTGAAAGCTGAAATGGAGTAGATTTTGTGATTGAGAACAGAGAAATTTCTCCTTTTTTGGCGTTTACTTTTCAATTGAGCCTCCAATTACTATCATACAGCAAGCAAATATTCGTTCGAAATCCAATTGTGAATCTTTTTTGTAAAAAATGTAATCAGTACCAATAAACCAGAGAATAGTGAAAGTGGAGAGATAAGACACGAAAATGCCCAAATGTAAATTTCAGGTTGAGAGCTTTTATAGTTTGCTTCTCTCGCCAACGACGCTTTGTTGATTGTCGTATGCTACGAAGATATTTGCCCATGCTTATATTCCTTGTTTAATTAACTAGATATATATCTTGTTTACCTGAGTGTTCTAATAATTCGGTATGCAATACATCATCTCAATGCATGAAGCTGTAAACAATGAACTTGCCACAATATATCCTCACATTGGTAGGGTTTAATTTGAGTTAAAAAATAAATTTATGTGAGAAAAAATATTAATAAAAAAGAGTTAAATTTAAATTTTTATGAAAAAAAACACAAATAATAATAAAACTAAGGAGCGTAGATTCCTTTTTGCTAATTAACCCTTCAATATAAATAATACCTTCTGTTAAGAAAGCTCTAAAGAAAGAATTTGGAACATGTAATTTCAAGGCATCTGATCAGTTGATAATTAGAAAACCTTGACCCTCACCAACTGATAATTTGCTTTTGATCATGCTTTGGTTCGAGAATACGCAACAAGGCCGTCCTCAATTAATCTCATAATTTGATTCATTGATGTCGTCGAGATTAGTTACTTTAGAAGACAACGATTTAGTTGCAATGAAAATATACACGCGATTTTGGCTTTTCAATTTAACTGTAATCTACCATCAACATTGAGTTACGACTAAGAATAGGAGTTTCGAATGTTGAGATTATCGTCTTTAGGAAGATACCTGTAATACCTGAGATTCAATTAAACTTTAAACCAATAATAAATAAATTTAGTAAATTAAAATCATGCACCACATTTACCATTTATCCCAAAGTTATTTGTTAACATTATATTTTATTATTATAGCTATCATATGATTTTATTAAACATATATCTTTGCTAATCAAGTTTTTAGTTTTAATATGCAGTGCAACTAGCTCGATGTGGGAACTCAATGTGCTAAACTTATGAAGAAAAAAATGATATTTATTATGATTATTTGATATGATATTTTACCTCTATTATGATTGATTTAATGATGAATTATTATTTTATATTTTATTATATGGTTTTAGTAAATGTGTTGAGGACTTAGTTGTTATTTTGAGTTTTTGTGAGAGAAGGCTATGTTAGCAAATAACTTTAGGCACCTAATTGAAGAAGAAAAATAGAAACTTTAGAGCTGATTTTATGATGTTAGGACAGCTGTTAGAGGCTTAGAAAAACCTAGACACTTGTCCTACTATAAGGTTACTCCACTTTTGCTTCATTTCTATTATGTTTAGACTTCATTTTTTGGTCTATTTCAGCAAAAAGTCTAGAACTCCGACCATAACATTTTCTTCTCTCTTCTCACCCAAAACTCATAATCAAACCTAGGTTTTCAACAGAAAATGAGCTAAAAACTCAGCCAGCCCATTTCAACTCGTTTTCAACCTAGAACCAAAAATAACCACCAAGATTTTGAGCTTCTATTCACTTGGGAACATGTTTTTCTTTGAGGTAACTTCTTTCTTATGTTAGAAACTAAGATTTCATAGATTAAGATGTTGAAATCCTACTTGAGATTTGGATTTTTGATGTGCCTTATCATGCATGTTGGTTGTAAACCCTTAAAAATGAGTTTCTTGAGGTTTTGGTTCAAATATTAGTTTATGGGTGAAATTAATGATTTTAGCTTGATATTATTGATGATTATTTGAGTCCCACCAATTACGCCCCCTAGAGGTTGCCCTGAATGCTAATGTATGTCATGAGACTGATCTATGCAAAGATATGATACCATTCCTTCCTTTTTCTGATTATTGTTCTCTGTAAGAAGATAAAAGACTTTGCCCTCAAATATCAGATGTTCTAATTGTGACTGAGAAGCCTAGTTTAGGTTCATTAATCTAGTATATCACTTCCACTTTGGAGTCCACGGCAAAGAAAATGAAACACTAAACGCAAACAAGAAAAGTAAAGGACCATAATCAGTAAAATATATGTATTATTCGTATTGTAGAACGTTCAAATGCAACAACAACAACAACAAAGAACGTAAAGGGGTTTTCTTTTATACTTGGTCGCAACTCACAAGGTTAAGAACTTCAAAAACCATTCAAAAGCCATAAAAAATTTCCTCCAGTCCTCCATGTAAATACAAGGCCGTAATTCGTCCACAACAAAACCGCGGTTGAATCTCCATTTATCCCTGCCAATTACCAAATTCACATCATAATGCTAGCGTTTTTGCTTGGTTCGTACTTTAAATGTTGAGTAAAACGTCATTTTGGAAAGCAAAAGTGTACCAGTGAGGAGCAAACACAAGCGAAATCTAAGGCTTGCCATACTTCTTTCTCAGTCGTTCTCTTACGAAATCATTGCGAGCTTTGATTCGAGCTTGTTGAGGCGCAACATTGACATACGAGAAATGCAAGCCAAAAGCAAAGAGGGCGGCTCCAAAGAGGAAACATCCGATGGTCGTCGCAGCCTTCTTTGGAGTGGACGGAAAGCACATAGACATTTTCTTCTTCGTTCTACCTAATGAAGCCAAAAACAAATACTTGAAAAAGCAAATCCCATTTTTCACCATATAATTACAAACTCTAAAACTCATACAAACTCTAAAACATCATAGATCACTACATTCTCATTGGGAAAAACTTAAAGAAACTTAAGCAGTCATTACAATAGTGAAATGTTAACTCTTATTGACGCTTTAAGAGTAAAAATTTATCAAATCATTTAAGTAAGCCAATATTTGATCACTATATTCGGGGAAAAAAAAGCCATATGTAGTTAAGCACTATATTACAAAAAGGAAGAACAAGTCTTTCTCAGTGGCATTTTATCATACACTTAAGAAGCACTTCTGTAACCCAAAAAAATAATACATGCCCGCCAAAAGTTGTCATTCAATGGACTGGAAAACGACCATATTATCGATGAAATTTTAGAATCATACCTGAGAAAGCAACAATTTCGAAAAGTGAAAGCTGAAATGGAGTAGATTTTGTGATTGAGAACAGAGAAATTTCTCCTTTTTTGGCGTTTACTTTTCAATTGAGCCTCCAATTACTATCATACAGCAAGCAAATATTCGTTCGAAATCCAATTGTGAATCTTTTTTGTAAAAAATGTAATCAGTACCAATAAACCAGAGAATAGTGAAAGTGGAGAGATAAGACACGAAAATGCCCAAATGTAAATTTCAGGTTGAGAGCTTTTATAGTTTGCTTCTCTCGCCAACGACGCTTTGTTGATTGTCGTATGCTACGAAGATATTTGCCCATGCTTATATTCCTTGTTTAATTAACTAGATATATATCTTGTTTACCTGAGTGTTCTAATAATTCGGTATGCAATACATCATCTCAATGCATGAAGCTGTAAACAATGAACTTGCCACAATATATCCTCACATTGGTAGGGTTTAATTTGAGTTAAAAAGTGAATTTATGTGAGAAAAAATATTAATAAAAAGGAATTAAATTTAAATTTTTATGAAAAAAAACACAAATAGTAATAAAACGAAGGAGCGTAGATTCCTTTTTGCTAATTAACCCTTCAATATAAATAATACCTTCTGTTAAGAAAGCTCTAAAGAAAGAATTTGGAACATGAATTTTCATGGCATCTGATCAGTTGATAATTAGAAAACGTTGACCCTCACCAACTGATAATTTGCTTTTGATCATGCTTTGGTTCAAGAATACGCAACAAGGCCGTCCTCAATTAATCTCATAATTTGATTCATTGATGCCGTTGAGATTAGTTACTTTAGAAGACAACGATTTAGTTGCAATGAAAATATACACGCGATTTTGGCTTTTCAATTTAACTGTAATCTACCATCAACATTGGGTTACGACTAAGAATAGGAATTTCGAATGTTGAGATTATCGTCTTTAGGAAGATACTTGTAATATCTGAGATTTAATTAAGTCTTAAGCCAATAATAAATAAATTTAATAAATTAAAATTATGCACTACATTTATTATTTATCCCAAAGTTTTTTGTTAGCATTATATTCTATTATTAGAGCTATCATATGATTTTATTAAACCTATAGCTTTGCTAATCAAGTTTTCAGTTTTAATATGCAGTGTAACTAGCTCAATGTTGGAACTCAATGTGCTAAACTTATGAAGAAAAAAATTATATTTATTATGATTATTTGATATGATATTTTACCTCTATTATGATTGATTTAATGATGAATTATTATTTTATATTTTTATTATATGATTTTATATAAATGTGTTGAGGACTTAGTTGTTATTTTGAGTTTTTTTGAGAGAAGTCTATGTTAGCAAATTGAGTGAACTTTAGGCACCTAATTAAAGAAGAGAAATAGAGACTTTAGAGCTGATTTTATGAGGTTAGGATAGCTATTAGAGGCTTAGAAAAACCTAGACACTTGTCCTACTATAAGGTTATTCCACTTTTGCTTCGTTTCTATTATGTTTAGACTTCATTTTTGGGTCTATTTCAGCAAAAAGCCTAGAACTCCGACCATAACATTTTCTTCTCTCTTCTCACCCAAAACTCAGAATCAAACCTAGGTTTTCAACAGAAAATGAGCTAAAAACTCAACCAGCCCATTTCAACTCGTTTTCAACCTAGAACCAAAAATAACCATCAAGATTTTGAGTTTCTATTCACTTGGGAACACGTTTTTCTTTGAGGTAACTTCTTTCTTATGTTAGAAACTAAGATTTCAGAGATTAAGATATTGAAATCCTACTTGAGATTCAGATTTTTAATATAGCTTATCATGCATGTTGGTTGTAGACTCTGAAAAATAAGTTTATTGAGGTTTTGGTTCAAATATTAGTTTATGGGTGAAATTAATGATTTTAGCTTGATATTATTGATGATTATTTGAAGATAAACTCTTATTAGGATTATGATTCATGTATTTAAGAGTGATCTTTGAAGATTAAGATCTGCATGCTAAGTATTTGATGAAATGTTCAAATATAAGTCCTCTGTACAGCCTATGTAGATTATGTTTTCGT